TATGTGTATATATATAATAAAATAATATATATATATATATATATATATATATATATAAATATATATATATATATATATTATATATATATATATATATATAAATAATACATATATACATATATATACATGCATACATGCATACACATATATATATATACACAAAGATATATATGTGTGTGTATATATATATGTATATATATATATTGTGATTCCATGCAAGTACTGGATTGAACCTTTTTTATTATTAAGTGATTCCGCAAGTACTGAAGTACTGAATTGAACTTTTTTTATGAGTGATTCCATGCACGTACTGGATTGAGTATATAGACATATCCCATTATCATTGTTCCATCGAAACATTATTGTCCTGGTTGTAATTTAAGTTGTGTATTGCAATTCGACTTTATCATGGTAGGAAGTCATGCTCAGCATGTGGGGCCGAAGGCGACTTCGCTTAGGTATTTTGTCGTAGACTTTATCTTGTCGGGAACATGCTGTCTACAAAAGAAATTGTGAGGATGATTCCACAAGCGAGTACTTATATTGCGTTTTGGAGGTTCTGAAAGCTGGCATCAGAAGTACGTGATAAAAGTTCACCACTCCACCTGTGGAAAAACTGAAACACCAAACAGTGAACACTAAACAGGCAGCCAGGCAAACTTGCACTATAAATATAAAACGAGTACCTACTCTGAAAAGCTGCCGATAAGCCAATCAGATGGCCGTTTCCATACAGTATCTTTGTAGCATCTACGACATTCCTAGACATACTCAATGTACACCTCACAGTTCACATTCGTTTGAGGGCTTCTTGATATAGGTGAGCTATATTCGCTCATACAGTATAGGATATTGCCAAAGTGCCTTTCGAAAAGTGCAAAGCACTGGTTTGATGTGTATATCTATATTTCAGAAAGGGGTAAGTAGCAGTATAACATACACTCCTAAAGCTTGTCAATCTAATTTCTGCACTGGGCGCCCCAGATCTCCTCGGCGTATTCTCTAATTGTTCGGTCAGAGTTGAACTTTCCTATGGAGGCGATGTTGTGAATGGCCATCTTCAACCACTTCTTCTGGTCACGGTACACCTCGTCAACCTCTCTCTGCTTATCGATGTATGATTGATAATCAGCGAGCAACATGTACTGGTCTCCGCGTGTCATTAAGGTATCCCAGATCATAGAGAACATTGAGGGGTCCTCGGGTGACCAGAAACCGTCTCGGATCTGGTCAAGACACTCTCTTAGAGTCGCGTTGTTGTCATAGAACTCATGGGGATTGTATCCCTTCGCGCCCAAGGCGTGCACCTCGTCAACATCCATACCAAAGATGAAGATATTCTCCAAACCCATCTCTTCGGCCATCTCGACGTTAGCACCATCCATGGTACCAATAGTCAAGGATCCGTTAAGCATGAACTTCATGTTTCCGGTTCCAGACGCCTCGGTTCCGGCGGTTGAGATCTGCTCCGACAAATCTACTGCGGGGATGATCTTCTCGGCCAGAGACACGCGATAGTTCTCGAAGTATACAACCTTTAGATACTTACTTACAGCTGGGTCGTTGTTACACTTGTCAGCTACATTGTTGATCAGCTTAATAATACGCTTCGCCATCTCATATCCAGGTGCACACTTGCCTCCGAACATGACGGTTCGGGGAGTGAATTCCTTGTCGGGGTTTGCCTTGATCTCTGCAAAGTGCATGGGAAGGTACACAAGAAGGTGAATCTAAGATTAGTGTGGTGAAGTGTTCATGGTATTCTGCTATTGATTTCTGCACAACGCTCCAAAAACACTATACGGAGACTTTACTTAAAAAATCAATCACACGTTGTGTACACGAATACAAGTTGGTGCAATGTATCGTTCATGAATTTGAATAAAAAGACACAACACCAAACGACACATACCGTTGTAACGAGTGATCATGTGCAGGACATTCAGGAGCTGACGCTTGTACTCGTGAATACGCTTCACGTGACAATCAAACATGGAGTCAACATCCAACTCGATGCCGTACTCCTCCGCTACCAGACGGCATACGGACAGCTTATTCTCTCGTTTCGCATTTTGGATAGAGCGCATGAAGTCCTTATCGTCAGCGAACTTCTTGAGTTTAGCTAATTCGTAAAGATCAGTGGCCCACTTCTCTCCGGGGAGCTTCTCATCGATCAAGTTAGTTAGAGCGGGGTTGGCTTTAATCAACCAGCGACGGGGAGTGATACCGTTGGTCTTGTTTTGAAAACGTTCGGGGTACATTTCGTAGAAGTCTTTGAAAATAGTCTTCTTGATAAGCTCGGAGTGCAACGCCGCAACACCGTTGACAGCGTGTGTACCGACGATAGCTAGGTAACCCATATGGATACGCTTGCCACCACCCTCCTCGATGATAGACATGCGACTAAGACGATCGTTATCTCCAGGATACTTCGCCTTAACCGCCTCCATGTGACGGTGGTTGATCTCGTAAACGAGTTGCAAGTGGCGAGGCAAAAGCTTCTCGAACAGACTCACGGGCCAGCGCTCCAAAGCCTCTGGCAAGACAGTGTGGTTAGTGTACGATAGAGTGCTGGTGGTGATTTTCCAGGACTCATCCCAATCCTTACCTTCCTCATCGATCAGGATACGCATCAACTCTGGCACAGCGAGAGAAGGATGGGTATCGTTAAGTTGGATGGCAGCCTTGTCAGGGAAGCAGGCCCATCCACGTTCCTTCCACGAAGGCTCAGTCTTGTGGCGACGGATGATATCGGCCAAAGACGCAGCGACCAGGAAGTACTGCTGCTTTAGACGCAACTCCTTGCCTTCGAAGAAGTTATCGTTAGGGTATAGAACGCGTGAGATGTCCTCAGCAACGTTGTTCTCGATAACTGCTCCCATGTAGTCACCTCGGTTGAACGAATCCAACTGGAATTCTACGGGTGCTGACGCGCTCCATAGACGCAGTGTATTGACGACATCGTTCTTGTATCCGGGCACCGGAGTATCGTATGGTACGGCCAATACCTGCTTGGTGTCCACCCACTTACCGTTAGATACATGTCCGTACATGCGGATGTTTTGTGTGCTTTCGGGACGCTGAATCTCCCAAGGGTTTCCGTATCGCAGCCAGTTATCAGGCAACTCACGCTGCCATCCATCTACGAACTCCTGCTTAAAGATACCGTATTCGTATCGGATTCCATATCCGTGTGCCGGTAGACCGACAGTGGACATAGAGTCTATGAAGCACGCAGCCAATCGACCTAGACCTCCGTTTCCAAGACCAGCATCTTCCTCGTATTCTTCTAGTTCATCAATGGCGAGTCCAAGCTGATTCAGCGCCTCTTCGGTGGATCCCTGGATACCCAAATTCAACATGGCGTTTCCAAGAGTACGTCCCATGTACCATTCGAGCGAAAGGTAGTATACTCGCTTTGGGTCAGTCTCGTGATAGTTCTGTTGAGTGCGCATCCATTTTCCGATAAGCTGATCGCGTACAGCCATGGAGATAGCTTGCATAAAATCGATGTTTGTAGCTACATTGCGATCCTTACCGACAGTGAAATGAAGATGACGGTTGAAAGAGGCTTTGACTTCCTCTACATTTTCCAGCTCAGGCATACCTCTGAGAGAAATACCCTTACGCAAAGAAGGGCGGCGAACCATGCCCCTAGCCTGTTGTACCTTATTTTCTGCCATGTTGTCTGAATGTTTTGCAACAACAAAAATGATCTTGTGAATGGCAACGAATGTCTATATATTATTTAGATATTTTTTTACTTTCTAGCTATCGGGATCAAATCACAACAATATCAGATTTTGAAAACATGAGTGATGACTATTTCGCCGGGAACCAGTGAAGGAACTTGTTTTGATTTTGCATAACAATGATAAACAAAGGACTAAAAATAGAAGCTCATAAAGGTAGAATTTCTCAGAACTAATTATTGATTGCCTATAAAGGTAATTTCGAAGCCATTTTTTCGTTCAAATTAGTTCCAGCATACTTTTTTTTGGAAAGATTGTAGGATATGATACAAAAATTACAAATTATTCTTCTTGTGTGTCCAGAGCAGAGCTTTTGATTGGCACACAATTCTATTGAGAACAATGGCACGCTCTTTTGGGGGCTTGCGGATTGAATGCTATTGATTTGAAAGCGTTGCAGACTTTCAGTATATGCAGTGCGAAATGCGCCAGATTTTTTCGAGAGAAGGAACACTTTGCACGCGAGAGGAAGTGGTCGAAGGCCCGAAGCGCTATGCCATAATTGCATCTCGCAAATTTTTGCTTGCCATAGATTTTTAAAAGTGACATCAATTTGTGAATTTATAAAAAAATTATGTGGTACTTTATAGTTTCTGAAGTTCGACAAATAATGTGCTCCACCAATCCGTTATTTATCCGTAGAATGAAGAATCCGTACCCCGACTCCCCGTGAGACAGTATGTATGTACACTTAATAAATAATAAAAATAATTATGTAGTCAGTATTTTACACAGAGAAAGAGAGTGAGATACAGTAACATTATTGAATATTTACACATACACACATTCACAGAGTTGGAGGCAAATAAATATAAGCCTGGTATAGTTTAGAAGGCTATTCGAATACTAAATGCTTATTTATATTATTATTTTACCCACAATATGTACAACAACACATTTGTCAATTTTGTATACAATATTATTTTTTAAAATCGGTGCAAATATCTTGACTTGAACTGGCTATCCTAGCGGGTCACTAGCAATTTTATGACCATTATAAAGCTTGCTCAATGCTCACGTTATCCAAGGCGAAATATTTTGCAAGTGAATTTAAGTAACTTTTTTTCTCCATGTTCCTTTCTATTGGACCCCGCATACTATCGAACCCCGCCAAGAATATCGTCACATTTTACATCTGTTATACCAAACTCTTCTTAAATTGTATGAGTGTGAACAAATGTGTATACATGTATGTATGTATACACATGAGTATATATAATCGACTCGTAATTCACCTATTGCACATTTAGCACTAATGTTCTATTACCCATGGATGGCAGGTATGTATTCTACAACATCAATGAAGACGAGTCGTATAACCAGCTGACGCTGATAACGATACGTATGTCGTAAACTTGACTTCATAACTCTAAATTGATTGTTTATGGCATTGAGATTAATGGGAAACACGAAGTACAAAATTTGTTTATTCTAATGAACATAACAGCTCCAAATTGCACTTTAGTTTTTATCACAAAATAGCAGTTTTATGTAAAGAAACACTATTTTCTACAGTATGGAAAGGTGCAACTGTCATGGGCAATAAAGGGTATCACATGCAGGATATCATATACAAATATGTTGGATACAATTTACTACACATGTTGACCAGTTACCTGTTGCACAGAATGAAGAAACTAAAAAACGTACATACTTCTGAACAGAGTTCGCTATCGAATATTATGAAAAACTTGTACTAAAATAAACTGTGATAGAATTGTTTTGCGAGACACTTAGTATGTAAGTCAGCAGGGTTGAGATGGGTGCTGACGTAGTGGAGGGTGATCATGCCGGATTCAGCGCAATCACGGATTTAATGAGCACAAACTGCGATGTGCTTGAGTCCCTTGGCGGTGTCGGTGCCAATCGCAACCTTAATAGCAGATTGGTTGTCGACATGGAGAATAGTCACTGACGAGATAGCGAGTCCTATGGCATTAAGGATGCTCCGAATCCATGCGATATCTCGTGTAGTCTCTAATGCGGCTATATACTCCGTTTCTGTCAAGCTAATACTGACTGTTTTCTGTTTTTGGCTGCGCCAATGAATGGGAAAATTGTTGATAGAGACGATAGTGCCGGTGTGTGATTCGTGCGTGAGTGAGCAGGAGCGCTAGTCAGAGTCGGTGTAGGTTTTAATGTAGCGACTGATGTCACGATTGTCGGGAGCAACGTGATAGTGGATAGCTAGATGATTAGTGGCGAAGAGAAATTGGAGTATTCGGTAAGGGCAGTGCAATGGGAGATAAGTGATGCGAAATTAAATACGGCTAGTTGGTTCAGCACACATGAAATATCGGGGCATGTCATATTAGCGGTGAACTCTCGTGCTCCGAGGAGCTTGCGAGATTTCCCGTCAAATTTAGAGCCGGTGGGATGGCCAGGATAGTCACCAGTGTTAGGAGAATGCTTGGGGGGAGCGCCAATGGCATTAAAACCCTGACCCATACGTTCAATATATACGCGATGGTACCTGAAGGGTACTGAAGTATTCGAAGTCCAAGGGCAAGCTCCAGATTTTTCATAATACAGGTTTTAGAGAGAGTGACGTATAGTCACTGTTCCTGGCCGGAGTTACGTACAACCGCTGGGACTATTCCGTCAACGTAAATGACGAGTATGATGTCACGTGCGGATGGAGCCATATGTTCTCGTCCTGCTGACTTTGAGCGAAACCGAGAGGTTTGTGAGAATTCGACCGATGTCTTGGCTCTAGAGACGGCCTGCCTGTTTAAGACCGTAGAGGCCGCGAAGAAACTTTAGGGCCGTGTTGGGAGGGTTCACACTTCCATTGGGCGAATACATATAAACGGGGGGTGGGGTGGGTGATTTTGAATAGAGATACCGCCGTATTTACGTCAAAGTGATGAACGGTGCGGTATTGAAAAGCGGCGGTGGCTAGAAAAGTACGAAGCGTGGTGGAAGAAGCGGCTGGAGCGGACGTTTCCCAAAAGAAGTCGTCATATATGCATTTGTTCATCGCCACGGGCTACTATCCGTGCCTTGTGAATGATAAGGGCGCCGTGCTCGTCATGCTTACGTGTGAACATGTACTTGGAGTATATGATCTCTGCTGTTGAAGGGACAGCGTGCAATGGTATGATGTCAAGGAGTTTTTTTTTATCGTGTGCAGCACGTTCGCGATCAATTGTTTGAGAGCATTGTGGCCATTCGACACTTGATTGGGCGTTGGATATGCTTTTGGGGACCCTACCATCGAGTATGGTGGGTGCGGTGTGCCAGTCGACGTCGTTGAAAAACGATCATACGGCGGAGAAGGTCACAGCGGTTGGGACCCTTGAATGCGCGAAGTGCGGAAGACTCGGAGTCAGAGAAATCGGCGTACGAGCCGGGATCAAAAACATTTGTGGGTGGTGGTGTGTAGAACACTGCCAGGTTTGGTTCAACCCCGAAGTCGTGTATGGCGTCGTCAACGCTGGATGGGCTGTGGATTGTGATTGGTGGAGGTTGAGGGAGAATGGCATGAGGTGGGATAGGGGTGGGGCACGGGGGGGCAGTGCGACGGAGGTAGACACTGGGGATAACGAGGGGTTGTGCCGTGGGGATAGGTAATAGGGGTATACCTAGAGCCAGTGCTATCGTGGTAGGCACGGGGGTATAACAGGTTGATGGGAATAGGGATGGGTACATAAGATATGGTGGAGGGTAGGGGTATAGGAATAATATTATTTATTTCAAAGGAGTTAAGTTACAATGCCTGTACATATGGTATGATTCTCATAGCCGTTGTAGTGATTTGGGGAAAATCGATGGGAAGAAGTGGTCAGTAAATTCCCTGTTGAAGCTTGAACCAAAGTGAGTCGACAGTGGAGGATATGCGCTGGGTCAATTCAGGCCGGTGCTGACAAAAACCTGACACCATCGAGTGTGCCACGGGGGTATAGTGGTGGGTACCGTTGGGATACCGGTGGGATACCGTTGAAGGATGGTGCAGGGACGGGTGTAGTAGTGGGCCGCCCATGGGTACAAAGGGGATTTCAATTCTTCGGGTATGACCCAGGATGATGGAGTGACGCATCGCGTTGTATATTTGCCATTCGAAGTCTACTGGGGACGTTCGTCAGTGAAAATTTGAACGCCGTGGCTATGAATAATCTGCTGCGTAGCAAAGCTCTGGATCTTAAATGTATTGTCGGTGCCGGTCAAAGTATATCCAAGTAAAATACCGAAGCGCCAGAAGCTTTGTGAACCTTGAAATCCACCGTACACCCGAAACGCATCTGGGGAGACGGGGTCAGGTCGTTGATACCATATATGATGTGGGGAGAATAGCTTGGTAGCCTTTGATGGGGTACAGTTGCGTCGAGTGTCAGCAAAGTCTGTGGCTATACCCCACAATGGGAGGGGTATGCCAGCTTCGAGAAGAAGACAGCGAACTAGGTTTTTGAGTGTGGCATGTTGGCGTTCGACTGTGGCATTCATTTGCGGAGTGTGTGAGGGGGGGGGGGTGCATAGCTCAATGCCGAGGAACGTACAGCTGTCGCAAATTATTTTGCTCTGAAGTACAAAATCCCAGTCGGCCGTGAGGGTGTGAGACTTCCAGTGACGAGGGATGTGTGTGATCAATTTGCCGACTTGTTGTTCGAGGGATATCTTGTTGGGTAAATTCTTATGGATCCCGAAGGATGATCCTTTATCAACCATGTTGAGCGCATAAATGTTGCTATCGCGATCCGGGGGGGGGGGGGGGGGGGTCGGGGGGTCGTGG